TATGAACTTGCACGTAATTTCTTTTATACTTAAATATATATATATAAGAATTTTTTTTTTGAAACCTAAGTACTCTTAAAATAACATCGATAACTTCGTCAATCAATACGACGAAAAGAAACTTAATGGAATAAACATAATTCGATATGCCTTCTATCTCTTACCAATCATCATGAATCATTCATTTTGGTTACTGGAACGCAAACAAGCCTCGCTCTGTTTCTTTAAACTCAATCGATATATATATATATACACATACACACACATATATACATCAGGATGATACAAAATACATCTAACTCTTCTAATGCAAGTGAAAAAGAAGAAAAAAAAAACAAATTAAAAGGAAATGAAGTAACACTTTAAAAGAAACGTTTATTACTTCATAATAAAATATGAAATTGTTTCGATTAACATTGATAATCCTTTCTACAATTGCAAAAATGTTTTCTCTTTTATAAGTATTATTGTTATTATTATTATTGTTATTATTATTATTATTATTATTATTATTACTAGTTACTTTTAGTGGACGAATAACGCGTAAGTTCGAGTCTCTGGGATATTAAATGCATCGTCGCTTTTCCACGACGTGCTCGTTAGTTAAGTGTCACGAGCACAACGTACTACAAACGCGAGACGCTAATTGAGAGGCTTTAGCATCGTTTTACACTGCCCACTACCAAGAGAAAACCTGAATCCTACCTTTCTTTTTCTCTTTCTTTCTAATCCGTTCGTTCGTACGGTCGATTTTGGTTGTCGGATTTTCTCGAGTATCTAGAACTTCGTAAGATTAAAAACAATGTAAATATAACCGAGTTGTTGACAGAATATACGCTACAAGAAGAAACGTAGAAATGTATAAGGTATTTATTTTGGTAATACAATTTTGCACGAAAAATATTCTTGACACAACCATCCCCTACACCTATAAAAAATTACAAAATTATAAAATTAGTTAGTTTGTTTGTTTGTTTTATCAATACTAGTAATACTACTACAACCACGAATATACGCTACAAGAAGAAACGTAAAAAAAAATCCTGACGCAACCACCCCTTAACAAAATTACAAAATTAAGAAATTAGTTTTTTGTTTGTTTGTTTATTTGTTCGAACGATATTACCTTTTTTTTTACTTCTACTATTACTAGTATCAATACAAGTAATACTACTATAATCACAACAACCACCAACCACTACTATTACAACCATACTTTGGAGATGACACGCATGGCGAGTTATCCCGGATTTCATACGCACTGAATGCCGCCTGCAGTGCATTTTCATGAGAGAAGTCGAGGTGGAATCTCGTGTTACCCGGTGAAACCTCCATTGTTTCGATGGGAGTCTCTACAAACGTACGAACGTAACAAGTTGTTGAGACCTGGGCAAAGGGGGGAAAATACAAGAGAAAAAGGGAAGATTAGGGGGAAGGTGCAGGGGGATTCGACAAGATAGAGTATAAAATAGCAATGAATGAAATACGTAAGTAACGAGCGTAAACTCGTGATGACGGAATAAAACGTATCGTTAGGATTCATTTTTCTCGCTCCTTTTGTTCATTTAAAAAAATAACTAAATTTTTTGTCTCTTCTTTTAATTCAATTTCACATGTAGTAACTTAAATATTCTCAAAAAGAAGGAATAGTAATGTTCTACATAACTTTTGAGCGTATTTTACATACATTTATACAGTTTTGTTAATAAAATTAATTACATTATTATAAGAAACATATAGGGACGAGAAAAAAAGTTTAGAGTTTAGTTGGAAAAGTTGGAAAGTCGGTTAACCTTAGGTGGCAACGGTGGTTCCAATGGTGGTAGTAGTAGTAGTAGTAGTGGTAGTAGTGGTAGTAGTGGTGGTGTTAGTAGAGGTGGTGTTTTAATTCCCTGTCGTTGCAAGAGGGTACATCTCGCGCACCAATATCCCGTTTTCACGTAGTAACGTTGGCACAGCCGCAGATCGATTAAGCTCTATTGCACGCACATTCACGATGTTCCCTGCTTATCCTAGACGGCATACTAACTTTCCAAATACTCGATGATCCTACCCTTTCTTTTTATTTTTTTCTATTTTTTCATTTCTTTAATTTTGTATTCTATCAATTGCCCCCACTCCTTTTTAAAAATAATATCTAATATATACTAGAAAATTGAAAATCCCTATATGAGCTTTAAAAGCTTTTAAATACTTTGTAAATATAATTCATTTTTTTTGTTCACACTTTTTACAGGTCAATCTAATTTCTATTGAATTTTTGATATTACAATACTATCTTGTGTAACTATTACGTTTCTCTTTCTAACCTTTTCATAATTCCCGCGCAAATAATACAAAAAAGTCTAATCGTTATGATGGTCACGTTATATTTTCTTTTTTTTTTTTTTTTTCTTTTTTTTTCTTCCAACCTACAAGTTAACGATGACATTATTAGATATCTTTATCGATTTATACCACCGATGAAATTTTTATATAAAAAATTATATGTCCAATCGATTGTTTGAGAAAGAAAACATTTGCGCGGGAATATTTGAAATAAATTTTTAATATTTTTTTATCAATATAATAAGTATTAGTAATTTTTCATAGAAAAAAAAATAATACAAATTAACAGTTAGTTCTCTTTCTTTTTTCTCTTGATTAAACTGAATGATTAGAAAGAAAAAAAAAGGAGAAAAAAATAGGAGATCAAAACCGTTAGAACTAACGATCAAAAGCCACGAAGTAATTAATATGCTGGCCAACGAGCACTCTCGGAGTCTAACAATACATGGAATCGACGAGAGAATATTAAGTCTTTAAGACTACTCACTTAGAGTGAGTAACTTAATCAACAAATAATGACTTTGTTATAATCAAAATAATAAGGATGAATTTCTCAAAGTTCTCAATGTTGATCGTTAAAATAAAAAGAAAATTCAAAGCTTGAACAACTTTGACTAGAACAAGAAATTTCGGTGAAACTAAATTATACTATGATACATAAACCAATAACTAATTAACTTCAATACAAATAACTTAAACTTTACTAAAATTGTGCAAAAATAATCTTGAAACTTATGAATATCATTATGAACATCATTTTAATAAGTAAAATTTAGAAATAGTAATTCTTTTCTTTCTTCTAGTAATTTTTAGTAATCTTTCTTTTTAGTAATTCTACAGGCCCAATTGGAACTTATGAATATTATTTTTTTTTTTATTTTTTTAAAAGTAGAATAAATTTAGTTACATAAAATTTAGAAATAGTAATTCTTTTCTTTCTTCTAGTAATTTTTAGTAATTTTACAGGCCCCCAATATTTTATATATTAAACAATTTAAAGTATAGTAAAAGATAAAATAAAAGTAAAAAATGGATATTTTTTTTTTTAAGTATAATAACGTAAAATATAAATAAAAAATAAAATATATTACGCATACAATATTATTCAACTTATCATCAAAATTTTTGGAACGACCTAATACGTGAGAAACAACAAATATTCAAAAATAAATATAATTAATTTGAAATTCGAATAAATTTGATCACAATTATACTGTATTATACTATACACATACCCATAGGATATAAATACGCTTGTACATGCTTTATTGCAGTTCCTTTTGATAGTATCAAGCATTTAATCTTTTCATTTAGCTTCGTGTACCGAATAATGGACAGAGTAATAAAGAAGAGAAACTCACACGAACGAGTATGTCGCGTCGTAACGTTACTTTAAAAAAATGTACGACCATTCGCGTTAATTAAGATTGTTACTTATAAAACTAACTAGACGAACTCTATCTATCTCTCTCTTTCTCTCTTTTTTTCTTTTACATCTATTTTACAATGGATCGAAATACACGTTTGAAACTGATCTCTAACAACACATAACAACGCGTTGGTCGCTGTGATTTCATCGAGTTAAAGAAGAAAATAAATTATTTTTCTATTGGATGCAGTAACTTGTCGCATAGTTTTTTTTTCTTCTTTTTTTTTTTTTTTATTAACACGAACATAATAACCTTGACGAACGTAAATAGAGTGGATTAATTTACGTCTAGGAAATTTAACCAAAAAAAAAAGAAAAATAGCATTAGAAAATAAAAAACACGTTGGTTAGAATAACAAATAGATCGAGAAAAATAAAGAGAAATGAAATATATTAAAAAGAACGATCATTGGAAAAAGAAAAAGATAATATAATTTTATCTTTGAAAAGTGATTTTAAAAAAAATGGCTTTTGGAAGAATAACGCGTTAAACGTTTTAGTTATGTTTTTCTTCCTTTTAGTTATATCTATAGTAATTTTTGTTCTTATCTCTTTCTAACATAGAGTAATATGTAACTATCAGAATGTGAGGGGGAAAAAAAAAAGAGAAAAAGAGAGGGAGAGAAAACTGACGACGCGTTCCAAATCGTTCAGAAATCTCATTTCGCGTATCTAACCGTATGAGGAACTCGTTTAAAACGATGAAGACACACGACTGATTGAAAATCTATTTAACTGTTTGAAAAATGTGTGTCAGAAATATTTGTTACTAAATTATATATATATATATATATATATATATATATATTGTTAAAAATACAATAATTTAAATATTAAAAATAGCATTAATTATATCTAGTATTTAATCACGTAAAGAAAATTTATTCTAATGATTTATTAACGATTGATTGAAAACCTAAATAATTATAATAAAAACATTAGAAAGAAATGTCAAATAAATCGATTATTCAAATGTGTACATATTTAACCCTACGAAATATTTTTCTAACAAATTAGACGTAAGATCGATTGACAATTTGTCTAAAATTATTAAAGAAATATTAAAACAAATAACATTGACATTTCGTAATAATTCATTTAAAAAATATACATATATATATATAATTAAGAACAAATAACATCTTTCTCTCTCTCTCTCTCTCTTTCTTCTTGTCTATTCTATTTTAAATGACAAGAAAAAAGAAAGAAAGATAGATAAATAAAAAAGAAAAACATCCCTAACCTTAATTTCAGCGTTTTTGGTCCTGTCTCCTGTATTGCTTTTCTCTGTCTTTTTGCTCCTGTCTTGTTGTCTTGCAGAAACAAACCCTTTCGTTCCTTTTTTTTCTAGTTGTAATGTATATGCAACTGTTCTTCTGAAATAACCGTCAAACGTTTTTATTTTTAATCAACGCAATTGGAAAATTATAAAAGAAATTATTGAAAATATCAAACGCGCACAGGATAGATCCTTCGGAACGCGTTCGCGAAAAAGGACTGACGTCTGAATGAAGGAACGAACGAACGAATGAATTCACGAACGATCGTACCAAACGAACGAACGAACCGAACGACGACGAACGACCGCCCTGCTCTCTCGTTTCTCCCACCCCTTCGCACACTCACTCTCTCTCTCTCTCTCTCTCTCCCACTCGCACACAACACACGTACATTTTCACTCAATCACTCTTTCTCTCTTTTTCTTAAAAATACAATGGTAGTATTACTTACAAGTCAATCTCCAAATAAACCTCGTCGATGTTCGTTCACCGTGATCTATAGATCAATGGTTCACACCCCGTAGATCACACATTAATTTCCTTTTAAAACAAGAATAAACCGAAACAAGCGACAACCGACATCAAAACAGCCCCTTCTAGAGTCTACGACTGATTTTTATCGAACTAGCCGCGGCGAAATGCGGATCGCGCTTCCGTCGTCCTGACATCTCACAGTTTCTTCGTGAACTAATTGATAATGTAGCGGTTTATTCTCGAATTTTTCGCGCAAGGATACTTCAATGTTTTATTTATCTTTTTTTATTAAGAGAGAATTTATATCGCATTTATTACTTTATTAGATTTGATTTATGAAATATTTTATGGAAATTTATCTGATAAATTTAGAATTATCATCGTCGAATTATATGTAACATTTAAAGAGTTACGTTAGTACCATTAACTCGCAGCTTATTTCAAAATTAATATTAAGAAGGAAATGTAACAAATTCATATTTTTAAGAATGTATATATGCATTTGTATATAGTAACGATAAAAATGAGTTCAATTGTATATAGATAATTTATTTTTATTTGATTATTCGTCGTTCAAACGTACTACAGAAAGTTTTAAATTATGATCGTAAAATGTACACGTACTTACTAACCTTAAGTTTATCTCATTATTTTGAAATATATCTCGTTCTGAAATACATTGACGAGAAAGAAATGACCAATCGCATCCATAAGATAAACTTTCGTGATTGTTATATTCGTCAACGATCGAAGGCGTCTCCGTATTCTGGCAATCGATTACTTTAAATCCACCGTACATACAAGCAGCCAATAGAAATCGACGCGCGAAAGGATCCCATTTCAAACGCCAAATGCCACCATGCAAATTAGTTTCTGAAATCGGTCTCTTGAAATTTCTCGTATCCCATAAGCGTAATATTTCGTCATAACTAAAAATAATTATTTATCTTTATAGAATATCGTACTTTATAAAGTTCTATTCTTTTTTTTCATTTTTTTTAATACCTTCCCGATGCTAATACATGTTCTTTATCAACATTGCTATGAATACTAGTAACACCAGCGGTGTGAATCCTATTAATCATAGTAGGCTTATTTCCTGTTCTTATATCAAACCGTTGAAATTTACAATCATCACCACCTTAAATAATTATTATTTATCAAATATTAGAATATGAATGTTACATTTAAAATATGCTATTCGTACCGGTGTATATTATGTTTACATTCCAATAATCAAAAGCAGCTATCCATGCTTCATATTCATGAGATGACCACGATATTAGATTTTTTATTTGATCATTGTCTAACTCAAATAAAGATATGCCACCAGTAGAATCACTAACTATTATTTTAGCTGTAGAATTATCTTGGCTAAAATATTTTCCTGTTGACCAGTCAAGAGACAATGCTAGAATTTCTTCCTTCTGATCGTTCACTTTCAATTCTGTCATTAATTTTAACATTTCATTGTTCCCACTTTGTAATTGATAAATTTGTAAATATCCTAACGAATTAACGACACCTAACAATATTTTTTGATTACACGTTCCATGTGCCCATTTCATATCCAGTATACCTTCTGTTTCTAATTGTTGCAACAACTTTATACTACCACCATTAACAACTTGAAATAAATATATTCTGCCTAAACGTCTACTTGGTTTCAATTCATTTTTTGCTATACTTTCTGTATTTTCTATCAGTTGATACGTCCCACATACGAACAAGTCTTTGAATGGTTCTATGGGACACCATTCTACAGAATCTGCGTAAAGCTCTGTATCGAAAGTAGTCAAAGTTCGAAACATGTTTAAAACAAGCAGCTACACAATCTGGAACAGAAAAAATGTTCATAATAAATTAGGCTTACTTTATATTTTCAATAAAATTCAATTTTGAGAATTACAATGTTACAATTGATATAGATAATAAAAAATGTATTACATAACCTGGAACAGAAAAAAATGTACATAATAAATTAGATTTTGAGGATTACAATGCTGTATAATTGGTATAGATAATAAAAAATGTATTACTCTATTACAAAAGCTTTTATTTGTTTCATAATTATAACATATGACTAATGTTAATATCATGAATTAATATTGGTATAAAATAATACAGATACGGTATTATATATAAATGCACGTTATTACATTAAAAATCCAAAACATATATATATATATATATAATTAATAAGTATTTGGAATTATACTTTTTTTTTCTATTGTTATTTCTTAAAAATAATAAACCTATTGAAAGAATAAAAAAGTACACTTGTAGGTACCTGATCTAGATATACTCATATTCCTTTGGATTTAGATATTCTATATTCAGATCACAGTAATATAATTTGTTTTTATAGCAGTTAAATATATGTATATATATATATTTTTTTTTGGAGAGAGCATTTATATATCTGTTGGATATAAGCAATTAAAGATTAAATTTGACTACTAATAAATGTGCTACACATTACATACTGAATTGATAAATTATTAAAATAGTTAGGAACTTATTAACATCATTCACACACATACATATATATTTAAAATCTTTCATACCGATCATTTTTATAAATCATAAAGTATGTATTCATTATCTTAGAGCACTCGAGTCATACAGTATATAGTTTCATTTGTTTTTACAATATTATTCTTACAAAATCAGAAAATAAATATTTGTACTACCAGCATATCTTAGAGTAAGGCCATCTATTTATTAGAAATTCTGGCTATTGTATAATCTGTATTTATTAATAAGAAATATTGTACTATGAGTATTTTTTATGATTAGTTTGCATACAAAAGATGAATAAGTCTGTCTGTAAAACGATGTAATATATTTGTTCGCATTTTAAGTAAAACATTATGCAAAACTGGTGTTCCTTATCTCTTTCTTATTATGGCAGCAGTTTATTATTCTCAAGTTTAATCATTTTATCTTTCTATTATATTTAAGCGCAAAAGATAAAATGTTTCTATGACATAATAGCTTTATTTAGTTAAACTATCAGTTTAGGAGTCGAGAAAGACATTGAAAGATATGGTGTTGGTCTTTACCATTAAAACTATATATTGATTTATACTAAAAATCTTTAGAATTATGCTTGACTCGCATGTAAACTACTTCTGCTGTTTTTTTTTTTGGCAGTGTTACAATTTATTATATTATATTACTTCTCCATTAAAATCATAGAATTTATAAAATGGAAATCAATAAATTAACATAAACTACGAGACAGAAACTAAAAAGAGAAACTAATATCTTAATTTTAAAATATAATAAAAGCATAAACCACAGGCAAGTTTAAGTTTTCATTCAGTCTTTAACAAAAATTAAAATTATTAATTTCTTTGGTGTGATTGTTCTATTTAAATATAATATAACCAACGTTCTATGTGTATATAAACATTTCTTCGCATATGAGTATAATCGTTTAAAAGAATAAATAATTTAAAAAGAGATATGAAAAGAATACGCATGAAATGAGATTTATCATATAATATTATGTTCCTAACTTGTACTATGATTTAGGTTGGTCGATATTTGAGGTAGATGATATAGTCCTAAAGAATAATATATTATTAGGTCTGTACCTTTCCTTCATAAAAATAGATATAGATTCTATAATTATGACTTTTTCTATAGTTTGATACGTTAACAATTTCTTTTTCATTTTAATATATATCGAATCGAATAATATGACAATAATATAAAAGACCTACTACTTCTTTTTCAATTTTCTCACTTATTGTTAGTAATCAACACATTATGATGGACGAGCAGTCCTTTCGGTTTCACCTAAGCATTCTCTAACTAAAGTGCGTGCAGTCATTAAACCACGCTTGACTTTTTCCGCTGAAGAACGACTCCCTGCATAGCAAGGTCTAATTTCTCGACCTAGTTCTTCTATGACTTTAAGTAATTGTATGTATCTGGATTGACCAGGCGCAATAGTAGTAGTATTAGATACTACCGTATTTTGTTGCAATGCTCTGGGATTTGGAACGTTTATCAACGGTTCTGCTACTATAGCCGAAATTTCTACATTTCCACGTTCTTCTTCCATCTTCTTAATCCTGTGTTGTCTTCTATTATTTTCCTTATCGTTTACCTTAATAAATAATTCATTAATTTCAACAAATTTGAAATAAAAATATCATTAGTTAACCTAATTTAAAGAAATTTCATATAACAAATAAGTTATTATAAAATTTCAAACAATATTACACTTTTTCTATTTATTTATAAATCATAAGAGAGAAAGAGAGAGAGAGAAAACAAAAGATAAGAGTACTACATATAGATCTAACATAACCTCAAATACATTTTTAATATAATCATGGAAAATAGAGAAAAACTTAATTGTATTTACATACCTTAAATGATAAATCGTAGTTACACTGCTTCTATATAATTATACAATAAGTACATAAGCGAAAACAATCAATCATTCGACTTTTTACTAGCACGCTGCAACTTGTATGCGCAAGACGATACACTGCAATGGTCTTCTAGTTTGCTGCGCGCGCCATTATATGTATATATAGGGATCCTGTAGGAGGGATGTGCCATTCATATTCAGCTCATGTGCCATTGGCTGAAAATTTTGGGGGACCGCTTGAATTTATAATAATTTTTTCGTGTA